GATGTAGGCTCCCCTACAGCGCTGTCCAACCTAAGCCAAAAATATAGTGCATTGGCAGAAAGTTTTTGGACAGCGATGTTGACCCAGAAACAGCGCTGTCAGGCCAAAACTTCCATCCTCAAAGGCAAACCCAAACAGCGATGTTCTAGTATGGAACATCGATGTAGAGACCTGACCGTTGGAAGAAATTTAAGGCTAAAACTTTCCTTGTTTGGAAGTCAACAGCCAAAACAGCGATGTAGGGGTTGTTGGACATCGCTGTTGGCATGACCGTTGCTTCCCAATTTTTAAAATCAAGCCTAGAACAGCGATGTCCAGCATAGGACAGCGCTGTCTAGGTGAATTTCAGCAGATCCAATTTTAATCAAAACCCACAAATTGTGCCAATCACCCCTTAAATGTGTTGGTCCGTTGGAGCCTTTCTTTCCACTATAAAATGGGGTGTTTTGGGTCTGTGTTACAAATAACATTACTTCACAACTCCTACTCTTTCATTGCAAATCATTCTTTAATTATTCATAGCTTTTGAGAGCCATTTTTGTGAAGCTTGTGTTGTGTTCTTGAGCGTTCTTAGTTTACTCATATCCACTCTTAAGGAGAGTCTTGTTCTTGAGTGTTTTAGTGTTGTATACACGTTAAGGGAAGCTTGTTTCCCTTGCTTGTACGAAGGAAAGGTATTTTCCTTCGGGTTGAAGTCTTGGAGTGCGGTATCTCCGAGCAAGTGTTGTTGAGGCTCGTGGGACTCGAGTTCTCAGGTTGTAACGGTTTGTTAAGCACCCGTAAGCTTAACGGAAGTAGTGTAGCTCGAGAGAGTCTCTCGGGAGACTGGATTAGCCACACGTTGTGGTGAACCAGTATAAATCTTGGTGTGCTCCCTTTACGCNTTTTCCTTCGGGTTGAAGTCTTGGAGTGCGGTATCTCCGAGCAAGTGTTGTTGAGGCTCGTGGGACTCGAGTTCTCAGGTTGTAACGGTTTGTTAAGCACCCGTAAGCTTAACGGAAGTAGTGTAGCTCGAGAGAGTCTCTCGGGAGACTGGATTAGCCACACGTTGTGGTGAACCAGTATAAATCTTGGTGTGCTCCCTTTACGCGTTCTACGCTCTTTACGTTTCACGTTCTTAATGTTTTATTCCTGCGATTTCTACGATCAAACGCTATTCACCCCCCTCTAGCGTTGGTCACTTATTCTAACAAGAGGCACAAATAGACTTTTTTTTTACTTTTGAACATTAAACAGTTGCGTGTCTTTAGCTCTCTCGGTCCCATCCCAAAAAGTACTTTTTCTTTTTAGTGAATAATGTTAAATTTAGTACTCCCTTCGTCCTAAAACTATCTTCCCACTTAGGGGTGTATACGAATAGAATCGAAGCAAATATATCACTATTCGATTCGTATTCGATTAAACTGATATGTATTCGAATTTGGATTCGTATATAATTCGAATTTTAAAAAACATTTGTATTCGATTCGATAGATATTTGACATATTTGAATTCGTTTTCGAATATTCGAATTCGAAAGTATTAGTAATTTTTTTCTTAAAACAGATTTCATAAAGACATTAAATTATTATTTTATAATAATGTAAAATGTAGTAAAAATATGTTAGAATATATATAAATTTATTTATAAATTATAATATTCGAATATATATAAATTTATATGTACACAAAAATTTAATATATTAAAATATGTTAAAATATGTACCCAAATATTTAATATATTAGAATATATATATATATATATATATATAAATTTATTTATTAGAATATATAATATTCGAATAATTTGAATAATAAACGAATCGAATATATTAATATGAGAATATATAATATTCGAATAATTTGAATAATAAACGAATCGAATCTATTAATATTTGTATTTGAATTCGAAAATAATTCGAATCTAAAATATGATTTGTATTCGGATTCGAATTCGAATATAGCGAATACGAATCATCCTTTTCGAATACGAATCACGAATCGAATACATTTTATTTGATTTGTATGCACCCCTACTGAGTTCCCACTTCTCCTTTTTTTCCATCCTAAAATTATCTTCTCACTTCTTAAAAAAGGGTATAGATAGACTATATTACCCCATCTGGTTTCCTCCGTGTCTTTCGTCTCCCGTCTTCGTCTCTCTTCTTTCTCCCTCTTCCTCATCACTTCTTCCTCTCTCCCTTCCTCCATCTCTCATACCCAGGTAATCCTCATCTTTTTTCCATCTCTCTGAAAAATCAGTAGATCTAATCCTCTTCTCTCTTCCCTCTCATTCTTTCTTCGTCTCCTCAAAATCAGATTTAGATCTAAAGTCCCTCTCCCCCTTTCGATCTACTCTGGCAATGCTATGCCCCTTCTTCTAAAGTCACTTTTGATCTAAAGTCCCTCTCCACCTTTTGATGCTATGCCCTTTCAATCTAAAGTCCCTCTCCCCCTTCGTCTCCTCAATTTTTGGTTAGTTTTTTTTAGTTTTTTTTAGTTTTTTTTCATTTCTTTGGATAAAATTAGGTTTTCTGCCATCCACTGTCGCCTCCGAGCACCCACATCCGCCGTCATTCCAATCACGGTGCAGTTGCCGTCATTCCAATCACGGTGCAGCCGCTCAAACTTGTGGCTAATTGCACTGTCCAATTGCCAGAAGGGGTTGGGGATCTGGATTGAAAATTTGGAATGTGTTTTTCAGTTTTAAGAGGGGTAAAATTGGGAGTCAAAGACAAAATAACTAGACTCTTAAAAATGGTAAAAAGTCAATGTGGGAAGGTTGATTTAGGACGGAGGGAGTAGATGTTTTTCTATGCTATAAGCTGGTCAAAATTCGAAGTAGACATGGCACGGTCCCTGATATTACCCAATCTATTACAAATCGCTCTTATTTAAACGGTTCGATATTGCTATGGGATGAGTCCCAAAACCATTCGTTACCATTTCATTTAGAAATGAAACGGTAGAATACCATACCATGCTTAAACAATGTCAAGAAATTTAAATATGCATAACTCAAATAATATTAAAACAAAAGCATAATTTTGTATAAATTCAAAAAAAATAATGCTCATAATAGTAATAAATATTTTTTTGAGAGGAATAGTAATAATAGATATAACAAGAACAATAATAATGAGAAAATATTTAAAAAAAATAATACAATACGAAGTATGCTATAAATGATTAGATGAAGTAGACAAATAAAAATTTGACATATACTCTCTATATAGCTGTGAACGATTCAGTACGTATTAATCGGTTTTTAATTTTTGTTTCACGGTCCCGTCTGTTTGATATTGGTACGATTTTGGTTTGGGATGAAAAAAATTAATCCAGTATAAAAACACTCTAATCGGTTTGGTCAGGGGCGGCTCAAAGGAGGGGCAAGGTGGTCACTTGGCCAGGGCCCATTTTTGAATGTGGCCTAATTTTTTGTATACATACATGGATATATTTATTTATATAAAAAAATCTTGATTTATTTTTAAAAATACAGTCCTAAATTAGTAAATCTAATAAACTATGAAGAGGTGATCAACCTTTTTTCTTTCAAGAATAATATAACAACTTCGCGAGTCTTCGCTTAGGTATCAAAGTTCGGAGTATATAATTACAAACTTATAAGACTATGTGATAGATATCGGGTCTGGTAGACCCGACTCCAGGCCTAAATAAAGGCCTATAATGACCTAAAAGGTATAAAGTCAGATGGAGATAATGGGCCGAGCCCATTATTGCGCATATGGCAGATAGAGAAAGACGGCCCAGTCATGGAATAAATTAGGGTGACCCAGTCCAAGAAAGGAGTGGGACACGTGGCCCACGTCATGGGGTCATATACGGAGTGGGAAGAGAACGAGATCGGAAAAGAGGGAATCACAACCCCATGATCTCCATAATCCTTTCCATTTTGTATAATTTTAATTATATTATTAGAGATATTATAAAAAGGGGAAGAACCCGCCATTGTAAAGCAGGAGACAATTCAATACTCAATAGAAGAATATTATCAAGTGGTTACATTTTCCTGATTCATATTACGTTCTTGGTCCGCCATCTGATCGGGTTAATCCCATCATTGGTGCTTTCATTGAGATAAAAACTGTGAGATTATGGCCGGACGAAGGACGAGACGTAACACTGCTGCTTCCGCCCAGTCGACGGTGAGGAGTGACAACCCTGAGCAGGGAATGATCGTTCCTGTCAATGGGTTGGAAACGGCATTGAATAATGTGGCTAACATGATGGCCAACCTATGGAACGATTGGATAATGCTCTTCCAGGTCCATCCGGTATCCGCGACGTCCCTGCCGGGCAACCCCGCCAGGTCCTGCGTACTGCGAGTTCTCCTATCCTCCAGGAGCTCCATGATCCGGAGGAGGTTGAAAGGGAGAGGCAAGCCATTGACAGACGCCGGGCGGAGGAATTGGCCCGGAATAACAAGGTGAATGAAGGCCGGGCTAAAGATGCAAGCCGGATCGTCGGCGATGGAAACGAGAACCCTCGGGGATCTGTCTTTGAAAGGATATCTCGCCAGAAAGCTCACGTTAGTGAGAGGCTGGGGAAGAATCCGGAAAAGGCACCCCAGGGTTGGATACGCCCCCAGGCCAGCCCGGTGGCATCTTCCAATCGTGAACCCAGGCAGCGAAACGGCCGTGGCGCGAGCCAAGTGCTGGTCTGGTCAGTGATGGATTTGGAGGAGGACGAGGTTCAAAGCCAAGCCAGGGTCCCAGCACAACGGCGTCTGGGGCCGCCGGTGCCGGAAGCTGGTGAGTTCCAGGATCTGAGGCAGCAGATCCAGGAGATGCAGAGGAAGATAAACAAGGGTCGAGTATTCACTACTCGTACGAATACTCCCTTAGCCCCGGAGATCTTTTTGGAACCATATCCGCAGGGATTCAAAATGCCGTTTGTTAAGCGATATGATGGGGAGTCAGACCCCCAGGAACACATAAACAGTTATGTCCAAGTGATGATTGCCGTAGACGCTAGTGACGCACTTATGTGCCGGTGCTTCTTGCAGACAGTTGACAGCAAGGTCGTGGATTGGGTCAACCATATCCCTGCCGGATCGATCCGGACATGGGATGAATTGGGACTACGGTTCCTAGAGCATTTTGCCGGGAACTGCCGTCCCAAAAAGCATTTCACTCACTTGGCTTCGGTGCGACAGAAGCAAGGAGAATCCTTGAAGAATTTCCTTATCCGATGGAGGAAAGAGTCCAGGGAGGTTGAAGGAACCGATGATTGTTAGAATAAGTGACCAACGCTAGAGGGGGGGGTGAATAGCGTTTGATCGTAGAAATCGCAGGAATAAAAAATTAAGAACGTGAAAAGTAAAGAGCGTAGAAAGCGTAAAGGGAGCACACCAAGATTTATACTGGTTCACCACAACGTGTGGCTAATCCAGTCTCCCGAGAGACTCTCTCGAGCTACACTACTTCCGTTAAGCTTACGGGTGCTTAACAAACTGTTACAACCTGAGAACTCGAGTCCCACGAGCCTCAACAACCTTGCTCGGAGATACCGCACTCCAAGACTTCAACCCGAAGGAAAATACCTTTCCTTCGTACAACCAAGGGAAACAAGCTTCCCTTAACGTGTATACAACACTAAGACACTCAAGAACAAGACTCTCCTTAAGAGTAGATATTGAGTAAACTATATATGTTCAAGAACAACTCAAACTTCACAAATTGGCTCTAGAAAGCTATGGAAAACAATGTGATTTGGATGCAATGATAATATGTGTAATGTGAAGTGAATTTTATTGTGTAAAGCA